GGACTTTGTGTCTGTAGTACTACCCTTCACTGGCTGAAACCAGAACTGTTCAGATACATGCTTGGTGACAAGGAGTGACTCCAGTTTGCAGGAAAACTGGTGCTCTGTGGGCAGGAAGAGTTTATTCCCCCATTACTGAGCGGTGGCTGGCCGCTGTGGTCTGCTACTGGGGGGCAGCCTCCAGGCCAGTGGGGGCTGTGGACTGGAGACCATTTGAATGTTACCTTGTGCATTGGGTGTTCCTGGGTGGGGGCCTGGTGGTACCAGTTGGTGAAATGATGCGTCAAGGCACTTAAAAGCTGTTTCCAAATTTGTGAGCTGTCTGCGGCAGCAGCATTTCTCCAACAGCTGTAATGCTATGTGGCTGTAATTCTCCTGTTGGGCAGCTAGGTCCTGCTTTGTGCTCCAAGATGATGCTGTCAGTATCACTTCCTTCTTAGGTAATATCCCAGCTGGCTGGCTGAAGTGGGGCTCTGCCATCTTGGTTTTGGGGTGATAAATAAATACTGTTCTTATTCTTTCCTAAAGCTCAGTTTTGGAGGGATTCCCGTCCCAGGGAAACCAGGAACCTTTCAGAGGAAAAATTTCCATGGGTGCATTGAGAACCTTTATTACAATGGAGTCAATATAATTGACCTGGCAAAACGGCGCAAACCTCAGATCTATACTGTGGTAAGAGACAATAATGTATGCTTTCCTTCTTTACTTCCATGCTGTTGGTGCTGCTGGCTGCACTGAATGAGTGGAGTTCAGGTTTAGGTAGCTATGGGCATAATTAGCTTTTTAAAATGGTATTGCTGAGGCTAACACTAGCCAGTGCTGACTGCTGTGGTGAGAGTTATTGAAAGACACATGTGGAAATTAATACATTTCTCTGACTTTCCAGGTGTATTAGAATTTGTTTGGAGAACTTTTTAAATTCCTTTTCTGAGATTAAAATGTGTCTTTTTGATGGCATGGTAGAAGTCACATAGACTTTTTTTTTCTGGTTAACTCAGATAAAATCTTATTTTCTGAACCATTCTCCATCACTGTTGTGGAGTACAGTAGTAGCAAAATTTTATTCTGCTATTTGAGTTGGTATTATAGAAAAGAATAAATGTTTCTTTTATTATTGCAAGTATTTTCCTTTGTGCTGCCCCTTATATTCAGTGTATTGACAGTTCTGAGAACCATTGGCCTGGTACTAGTGTCTCTAAATGTGGGATGGTAGTGGTAAAGCAAAGGGAACTACAGTGTTATCCAACCTGCTAACATAAAATATAAACATAACTTCACACCTAATAATGTCCAAAATTACAAATATATTTAAATATATCATGAGAAAAATAAAGAACATTTTATTTCATTAGAAGAGGGAACAGTACATTCCCATGCAGCCCTGAAAAATTGTAAATAATTCAGCTCTTTGTTTAGCTTGTGCCTTTTTCCTGCACCATGTTTTGATATATACCTTTTGGCTAATACTGTCTTTGGAGAACATGGAGATGAAACTGCTTCTGGCTCTCGTGGCATCTTCTAGTTTGTAGTAATGTGTATAAACAGACTGAAGCTGCAACAAAACAAGCCAGAAGACCACAAGAAGTCCTTCCTTTCCTCACTTTCCCTGCCTAGAGCAAGGCTCAACACACACAGAGATGGAAAATGGAAAGGTGATGGGTGAGAAGTCCTGCATTGTGTTGCTGGTCGTCAAGACTGCCTCCAGGATGCTCCCCTAGCCTGGGACTGAGAGGCTTTGCTTTAATAACCTCAAGTTTGATTGCTGTGACTCGGGACTCTAAGGTCTGAATCTTATGAACTGTGTTAAATTGCTCTTTACCTCAGCTTGCTTTCTAAGGGGAGCAAAAAGCCCTGGTCTGCTTCTAAGGTCATTAAACAGCTGGTTGTTTTGCCAGCTGGGTAATGGAAAGGCCTTCTTAAACAGGAAAAGAAAAAATTTGTAATGTGCTTTTTCTCTGAAGGATATTGTCTGGGTATAAGGTGGCCCCAAGCAATGAAACTCTATCACAGTACTTGATTCAGCCAATGCTAGATCGAAGGTCTAGGAATCCTGCCCCTTTCATCAATTTAAGGTAGCAGGGATGTGCCCCCATCTTTCAGTCTCCCTCACAGAAGTGATGATTTTAACGCAATAGTTTTCAAAGGTTGGCTGCTATACTGTATTTTGCAAGATTTATGAGCTGCTATGTGCTGTGTCTCTGACATTTGTGTATGCAAAGTGCATGGAAAGGTTGCCACACTCACAGTGCCTCATAATCTTAGATGAACATCCTTCTATAGGAAACAGCCTCCGTAAATCTGTGTTTTCCAACATCCTTTCCATCACAGCTATTTATCTCCTTTAGCAACTCTCAGGTATTTCCAGCTTTCACAGCCTGATCTCCCTCTCCCATCTTCCTGCTCTTCCACACTCCTTAGCAATTTACTTAATTAAAATAACTTGTTCTTGCTAAATGTAGTCTTTTGCCTGCCAGACTTCCTCTGCACTAAATGCTTTTACTCAAAGTTCATTGAGGTTTCAAGCAATAATCCATATCCCCGGGGAGCTGCAAGCTTCTCTGCTTCACGTCTTCGTAGTTGCTAAGATTGTCTGGAGTGGAAATGTGATGAAAGGAGCAGCACAGAAAAATAATTAAATATAGCGGGGACTAGGAATCACATCTTCCAATGATGTGTTGTGTACTTGTGTTCCCTCCCCACAAGACCAGAAATGGTTCTACATTGTTAGTCCCTGAAATACCTTTGTCTCCCAACAAAAGATATTTGAGGACAAACTTGCCGGTTTGGGATTAGAAAGTCATTAATGCTCAGAGACACTAGTTTTTGCCTCCAAAAGGGAGGTGGACTTCAACACTCAGTCTTTGCTTCAGTCTCTGTGCCTTTGTGAACATTGACACAGTCAGTGAGTCAAACTTGTGGGTTTTCATACCCATCAACTTTGGTTATTTTACTGTTGACATCTTTCACACAAGCAGGAGAATGATACATCAACTTTGGAGATATGGATTTCCTCTTATGAAGTAGTTCTTCATCCATGTAAATAATAGTCCCAAATCGGCTGCATTTAAAATCAGAGGAAGAAACTACAGGTTGTCAATAACAGAGTACTGTACTATGTATCGTGCTCTTGGGTGGTGGCTGTGATTATCATTCTGCCTGTTCTTTTCTGTAACTCATTTGCAGTTGTCAGACTTGCAATAAATCCCCTTGAGAAGACATCTCAAGATAATGAGGTAGCCTGTCTCTTTGAACTGGAACTTGCCTTCAGAATTCCATTTTTATATTGCCTGATACTTAACCTCGCTATGTGGTAGCCCTGTCTATTTGGACAGACTATCTGTCTTCTCTCTGAGGTTTCTTCTGTCCCTGATGGCATGCTGTATTTTTTTTGTTTGTTTTGTTTTTTCCCCTAGGTCATTGATTGTGGAGAAATGATAGGGGATCTTTTATTTGCTCTCTGAAGCAATTACTGGTTTTAATTGCAAGAGGTTATGAGAAGTCAAATTTCTGTAACTACCACTGTCATGATCGTAGGGCTGGACCCTTGGGAGGCCTCAGAAAATGCTTTAAAATAATAATCTAAACATCTGCCGTATTGTCATGAGTAGAGTCATGCACTTCACTCATAAGAAAGAAGCAACAATACACTTTATTGATATGACAAAATTCAATGGTAAATACAACAGTGGTTTAACAAGATTTGATGGCAAGGTACACTTGATTGACAAAATTGTCAGGCAGACCATCCTATTGAGTCATGAGGTTCAGAAAAGACACCCTTGCGTTCTAAACTCCTCAGAGAGGAGTTTAGGTGCGGCTGGATCCAGACTTAGTCCCAGTCTTGGTCAACAGTTTATTTCTAAAGGATTATATGTGTGCAATCAATCCTTTATATCGCTCAGCTAAGATTTCAGTTTCAACGTGCTTATTCCCAATTCACTTATGGAGTATCTGATGCAATAAGGATTCTCTCAACCTGGAGGAGTAACCCTGAGAGGTGAACCTACTCAAGAGGACATCCTGGCGTGCAGCCCACTGCCATGCAGGAGAGCTCAAAGGGCCCTGGGCAGTCCACTATTTATGGAGTAAGATGATTAACTTGTATTCATATTTGCATACTGACTACAGATGTTAATTTCTTCCAAACTTGACTTGAGTCAGACCTTGACCAGCATTGTGGTTAGGTGGGCGCATTGCTCAAATTAGCCCTTGGCTATTGTGTTGTTATCTGTCTCCCCTGAATCCACCTTGAGCTGAATGCAGCCATCACGACCAGACATATCTATTATGACCACCACTGGTGGTTATCACTTGAGCAGAGTTATGGGAAATAAAGGTTATGTTGCAAGGGGGAGGGCACACTGCCACACCTATTTACTAGCTGTCTTCTCTGCACAAAAGAAGTGCAGATTGCCCATTATGAGAAATTGTACAGCAGTTACTCTTGCTTCTTGGGCAAGTAGTTAGCGGCAGGAAAATACAACAATAGGAGCCACATTTACAAGAAGCAGAAGGGGAATTGTCCTTCACAGAAGGATATTTGACCTGTTGATATCTGAGATAGCGAAGTCCTTGTTGAAGAATTTTGTGCTTGTTAAGTGTGTATATAGATGCAGGAGGAGATAGGACACATTCTAGGAAGAGAAATCCATTGAGAATTGCTAAATACATCTGGCTGAGGGAGTAGTTAAGAAAAAAAATAGCTATAGCATCCTGAAAATAGCTGTAGTATCCTGGCCACCAGTGGTTACCTACTGCTAGATTCAGGTTGCACCTTTAGAAACTGCTCTAATGTGACCTGTGGCCAGGGTCCTAATTCTTTTCATGTGTTACTGATTTGTGATGCCGAAATAAGAAGCTGTCTAACTGAAGAAAAGAAATGAAGAGGTCATGAAAAGATGCTGTGTTTGATCTTCTCAGTGCTTCACTCTACGTACTCACTGAAATTGAGGAAAACCCTATCTTCCTTTCCCTTCCATTACCTTCGGCTGTTTGTAGTTCTATTTTTGTTTAGCAGAGCAAACTCTGCACTGTCTTGAGAGGAGTGTAGGATATTTGTAAGGCAGAAGTTGTCAGCCCTCAGATATGCTTGAATTTCTACGTCAGCCTGCCATGTTGAATCTGAGAGTGACAATTCAGCACAGCAAGGGATGTGGTGACATGTAAATGCATCACTGTAGTGCCTCAGGGAAATAACCAATTGCCAGCATCAAAGAGCAAGGAAAGATACCTAGTGACAGGAGAATGTAAACTAATAATTCATTCTCTTTATAGAGAATCCAAACATGCTATTTTATTAAGCTGATTTGAGATACCTTCATCTTGAGAAGAATTTACTTGTCTACGCACATCTTGTTCTACCAAAATGCTTATGCAAGTGTTGATATAACTGTGAATATCGGGCTGGTGATTTGTGAAGGCCCCTACCAGGGTTTGGAGAACCAGGAGTTAGATATATTTTGATTTTTTTATTTTTTTATTTTTTGTTACTTTCCCTGCTGCGATCAGACTAAGGGATCATAAATAAAAATGTTGGAACTATTTTGTGACATTTTTCACAACTTCCTATAGGATGAAGTTGCATTTATTTAAAAAAAAAAAGTTTTCTGCAATTACTTAATGAAAGCATGAGTCAAACACATGCACATTAAAAAGAGAACTGAATTTAC